CTTGCTGCAGAAGGCATATCCAAGAGGCAGATGGATCAACTGGACTCCCTGACAGATAACCATTTATGTGTTGCCATAGTTGAAGTTGGACTTGATTACACTACAACCTGCATTTGTCGTCCCTGTCGTAATCCTAGCAGGTGTAAAGAAGATGCACGTCGTAATCAGGAGGAGGCCTTAATACACATGTTGCTCCTAGGCAAGAGGAAAAGTTTTCCTGTTATAATTCATTGCAGAGATTTCGGTAATTGTTCGGCCGCCAAACGGACGTTGGAAATAATATTCCACCATGACCACCCTGACATGAAATTTTATTGCCACTGCTTTGAAGGAACTATTGAGGAACTGACTGCTTGGCAACATTTACCAAGTATAATTTTCGGTGTATCTGGCAAGTTCATTCGGGACAATACCGGTTTAGAAATAATTCCTAGGATTCCACCACACCAGCTTGTGCTTAAAACTGATTCACTTTTCTTATTCCCGTTCTCATGCTGTCCAGTAAACTACCCATTCAATCTACCAGTGATGTGGACCGTAAATGACAATGCTTTGAAATTCTTTCAGATGCCAAAACAAAGACAATCTTGTTAGACTGGTTGGGAAAATAGTGTCGAACTATGTTTTATATCGCGTTTGATTATGTTTCCAGAGAGGAATGGACATATCTATTCTATGAACCGTTTATTTTTCGTATTTCATGAATATCACTACATCATCCAGATAGACCAAAACTTGATTCCAGGTAAGTCCCCGGAGTACTAATTGCATCGCTCGTTTGAAGGTAGCAGGAGCGTTACAAAGGCCCATTCCCATTCGCATGTGCTCGAATCAGCCATAGCGTGTTATAAAGGCTTGTTTTTTTTTCTGACCTGATTCCTGTAGTTCTATTTGTTAGTATACACTGATAAGGTCAAGCGTGCAAAAGGTTGTTGCACCTTGCAAAGAGTCCAAACAATCCTTGATGATAGGTAGTGGAAAACAATCTGTCACCGTTCGATCAGTCAAGACCATATAATCGACGCAACATCTAACGGATCCGTCACGTTTTCTTACAAGTTAAGGGGCTGAAGACCACTCCGATGAAATGAGCACATATTCCTGTTTCAAATCCTGGAATCCCAGTGGTGTGCGACGCATTCTATGTTTGACTGGCGGTGAATCTTTTGTGTAAATGTTATGCTGACTGCAGTTAAACACCTAGGTATCTAAATCGTGTTTTGAAAAAACGTCTTCAAATTCAAGCAACAATGATCGTTATGTAAATATCTGATCATCTTTCAAATTTGTGATGGAACGGTCGTATAAATCTTGCAGATGACCTGGTAACGGCATATCAGACGGCTCATATTACTGATCATTAGAGTTCGCTGATGGCAGATGAACTTGTTTTATGTTAAAGGTATCCTTGGTGGACGAGTTGTTATCGATAATTTCATCTACTGGTTCAGCGTAGCCCAAACGGGACCTCCTTTTTATCTTAACATGAAGTTTAAGGATTAAAGATTTAAAAACCAGTTCAAACGATTTAAACGCTTATTAAATATTTTTTTCCATTTTACAAATAGCACGAATACACTGTCCTACAAAATCCTCTCAATGTGCAACTTGAGACTTAAACCAGTATCCCATTAGGATGATTTTAAGGCGGCGTCAAGCAATAAGTGACTCTATAGGTAATTCATCCAAATAAATGTGAATATGAACAGCAAAATGTCTTCAATATAATAACCACACTGTACCTATTTTTCTCAAAGCAAACTATGATATATTTAACTACAAAATTTATCATTATCTATCTACATTTAAAATTATAGTATACACATGTATAAATATGCTGGCAAAGGATACATGGTATATAAACAGGTTCAGTGTTTTGAAAACAGGGAATAATTAGGCGTTTTAAAATCAATATACAATAAGTTGAAACTTAGCATTTTAGTATTCTTTTGTTCCAAATTATTTTGTTATATGTTACACTTTAAATGAAGGTTACTGTATGTGTAACTTATCTCTTTATAAAAAGTTGTCATGCAAGACGTAATTAACAGCGAAGGCAAGGCTGTCATTCGGTATATCGAGAAAAATAATCGTGAAAAAAATAAGTAATGGTGGTCAAGTATTGTGAATGGATCGTGAAAGATCTGGTACAGGATCAGGAAGGAAATCATATCGAGAAGACATATGCAACGTCAGTAAATAATCTGATTTAATGAATTATAATGCAAAATATTGGAATAAAAAATTGCCTGTCAAAATGGTTCAACATTATGATCAGTATCCGAAAAAAAATCATGGTTTAAAAGTACACCATTTGTACAAAACTACAAAAGGCAGACTGCTCATCGATCGAAATTTCAATGAAATAAAAATGTAAACAAACATGATTTTTTTCATATTTTGAATACATAAACTACTTTTCTCTTAAAAATATCGTTCATTATTACTGTTAAAATGATTCTTAAAGTTGTTTTGTTTTAGTGTAATCAGAAACTTTGCAAAAATGGGAATATTTAAAAAAAAATGATATTTGGGATCGTGAAAAATCGGGTACAGCTATTTCATGATCGTGAAAAGGATCGTGAAAGATCTGTTGCCGCTTTTTTGTTATTGCAAAAATCCACGAAAACGATCATATCATTCTTTAAACACATGATAATTTATATTTGTAATCGTTATATCACAAGATTGGATTTTCATGACTTATTCCGCTTAAGTTTTTTTGTGAATAAGGCTATGATGGTTCGATGCCAGTGGATCTGATTATTTGATGATACCACAATGACTAGTTGTCCTACAACACCAAAAGTCCGTCCTGCATAAGTTTTATGTCGTATGAAAAGTTTAGATTGTCTTATCTGATTTCCATTAATTTTTATACACAGTCATATCTATAAAACGAAGATCCTTGTTGATTTTTGGAAAGATTTGGAAAAATACATTGTTTAAAAAACACTGCAGGAAACAACTCTTATATAACTGACTTGGCACAAGCATTTTCATAAGAAAATGGTGGATTAAACCTGGTTTTGTAGCTACCTAAAACGCCCATTTGTATGATTGTTGTTTAATGTTCCTGCTTATGACCTGCTAGTCAAATGCGTTTTGTTAAAATATACTTTTTCACTTATTTGGGTGGTTTGGAAAATGTTGTTTGTGCTGTATTTAGACCCCTCTACCAAGAAATTTGTTTTGCATCCACACGTATAAAAATTGCGGTTTTTATCCAACGCAACCATAGGTATGAACGTTGTTTTCAATTTAGACTTATATATATATATATATATATATATATATATATATATATACAAGTAACAAATCAAAAGAAATATGTCTGTCTAAATGATTCAACTTCCTTAATAATACTGTGCCTTACGTTAAAGAAAAATACAGTAGTTTTTAAGAAAACACAAAAGGCGACACACAATCCTATGAGAATCTTTAAGAAAAAATCTCGTTTTGTACCTATAATGGTCACATTTCAATATTGCATAATATATTTGAAACTTGATCTTTATTGTGTCAGATAGTCCAGTTAAATAAAAGAATGTTATAACTTAGAAACGTTCATATTATTTTTGAAAAAAATATACTTTTGTCGATTTTTAATCAAAACTGATCGTAAAGGATCAGGCAATGCATTATTTAAATCGTGAAAGACAAGGCGTGACCAGACTTGGTGATCAGAAAACAACTTTTCTTTAACCAATTGATATACTTGTAATTGGTTGGAATGTGTAATTACTTACTAACAACGTAAATTTATGCTTTCATTTTTTGGTAATTTTTTTGGTCTTTTGGAAAATGTTGTTTGTGCTGTATTTAGACCCCTCTACAACGATATTTGTGGTATTACTTCTTTGCCGCAAGATTATTGTTTTCTATTTGGTACTAAATTAATATTAAGATCCATTTTGTTACATCTTGTGATAAATTTATTTGTCAATCGTCAATGGCAGTCAGCAGGGTTTAAGAACATCAGTTGTTCGACCTGTTAGTCAAATGCGTTTTGTTAAAATATACTTTTTCACACTTTTTTGGTCTTTTGGAAAATGTTGTTTGTGCTGTATTTAGACCCCTCTACACCGAAATTTGTTTGTTCTGTATTTAGACCGCTCTATAAAGAAATTTGTTTTGCATGCACACGTATAAAAATTGCGGTTTTTATCCAACGCAATCATAGGTTTGAACGTTGTTTTCAATTTAGACTTGTTTATATATATATATATATATATATATATTACCAAAAAAATGAAAGCATTGATTTACGTTGTTAGTAAGTAATTACACATTCCAACCAATTACAAGTATATCAATTGGTTAAAGAAAAGTTGTTTTCTGATCACCAAGTCTGGTCACGCCTTGTCTTTCACGATTTAAATAATGCATTGCCTGATCCTTTACGATCAGTTTTGATTAAAAATCGACAAAAGTATCTTTTTTTCAAAAATAATATGAATGTTTTTAAGTTATAACATGCTTTTATTTAACTGGACTATCTGACACAATAAAGATTAAGTTTCAAATATATTATGCAATATTGAAATGTGACCATTATAGGTACAAAACGAGATTTTTCTTAAAGATTCTTATAGGATTGTGTGTCGCCTTTTGTGTTTTCTTAAAAACTACTGTATTTTTCTTTAACGTAGTGCACAGTATTATTAAGGAAGATGAATCATTTAAACAGACATATTTCTTTTACTGATTTGTTCCACCTTTTGAAAATACAGCAGATTTTTCACAGATTTTGAAGTAGAATTAAACTTAATTCGTACACGATCCTATACCAGGTCTTTCAAGATCCATTGGCAATGCTTGAACACCGCTAGGTATTCTTTCACAATCAGTTTTCTTGATATACCGAATGACACCCGTGGAAGGAATACGATAAAATAATTATCAGTATATTCATTAAAGGATTGATCATCCATGCGTATGAAATATAAAACATGGTTAAAATGCGTTTTAGATATATTACCTGTAAATAATGTCAATTGTTGTTAAAGTACGTTCGTAGTTTGTTCGTTTGCATATGTTGAATATAGAGACGAAGTATATATAAATATATATATATATATCAAATGTTGGCATTGGTTGAAGACACATTATCATCATTCATTGCAAGGTTACTTCAACACACTTATAACCATCAGACAAGTAAGTATCATTTTCATCTTTTAGAATTCCATAAACTATGTCCCCTGAATACATTTTGATCATTCTTATCTTAATTCGTATACTTATAATCGACAAAAAAATTTCATGCATTGATTTTTGATCAAAAACTTCCCTTCGTCACTTTCCATTCGGCGTAACCACAACCCCGTCCTTTTTCCCCCGAATGTGACCTACCGAATAAGACTTATAACCGGGTTTGTACTTACGTGAGTGATACGATGCCACAAGTTGACCAGGACTTGCTTACCCTTCCGGAGCATCTGCAATAACCCCGAGTGTTTGATGGGGCTCGTGTTGCTTAGTCTTTAGTTTTCTATGTTGTGTTTTGTATACAGTCGTTTGTCTTTTGGTCTTTTCTTTTTTTGCCATAGCGTTGTCAGTTTATTTTCGACTCATGAGATTGAATGTCCATTTGGTCTCTTTCGCCTCTTATGCTGTGCGTGTACCGAATTTCTAACATTATATGTCATGGTTAAGTTCACTGCATATGGAAAAGCTGTCGGCGAATTAGAGTGCGGGAAGAAAATAATTTAAAAGCAGTACATTTTTTGAAGATTGTGATAAAATAAAGGATTGTCTTTCAATAGAAAGTATATGTACACGTGTTTTATAACAATTAAAAAAAAACCCAACATATTAAACTTTTGTTGTTATATTTGAAGTATCATTTTACTTTGCATTTGGCCGTTTACCTGGTTTAAAAAAGGTTCAAATGGCTAAATCTTGATAAGTTACATTGTAAAATGATTTAAAACAAGATTTCAGATATTTATTTATATTCATATAAGAAAGACCATATAAATAGTTTACTTTAAATCGTTTTTCACAATGAAGTGACCTTGGTTCTGTTTGATTGGATGAATTGATAAAATGAAAAGATATCATTTTTTTTAGAATTGGTACACAGTGTTTGCGTGTATCTTTTAATGGACGATTTAAATAGAGGATATTTTAATCAATGGAACATGCAACATTGATATTCAAAATCACATACTGCAGATATATTCCTAAATTAGGTCATTATTTATAGACACTGGTTTTGGAAAATATTAACAAACGGTCCAACCATTGATGAAAGCTCTTACCAAAATTTCAACATGTAGAATTCCAATTCAATTAATAGGGGCAATCATGCATGTATTTGTTCCGGACCACATGAATATTTAGACCGTATACTTATAATGGTCTTACAATACGAGTATGGTCTGGTTGTTTTTGCAATACGATGAAGGTTAAAAAGTTACCTTTTCTGTAAATGGCATAATTTGTGACCCTTCAAGGTGTCATAAATTAAGAGTTTCTAAAAATGAAATTTTAACTTCTGTAATCATATGGTAATCATTATGACATGATTAATAAAATAAAGTGACTTTTACTCATAAGGTGAAGTTATAGTAATCGCATTTTACATTGTCATTATCGATTTCTTTACGAAAAACGCTATGTCGACTTTGGAAAAATAACTTCAAGAAATACAGAAATGATCTCTTAAACAAGAATGGAACCCTCTTTTTTTATTTTGTTCTATTTATTTTGGTGTTCAAATTTGATTTTAGTAAATTAACATTTCGTTAATATTTTAAAATATGTTTTCCCGTTTGAATGGTTTTACACTTGTAATTTTTGGGGCTCTTTATAGCTTGCTGTTCGGTGTTAGCCAAGGCTCCGTGTTGGGGAGCAGCTGTTGAAGACCATACTTTGACCTATAATGGTTTACTTTTATAAATTTTGACTTGGATGGAGAGTTGTCTCATTGGCACTCATACCACATCTTCTTATATCTATTAGTTAATCAATGTGTCATTGTGCCTATTCTAGCGATTTAACAATAATTTAATTTTGAATGTATCACGTCTCCTGATTAGCTGAGTGGTTTTTGTCTATCTGCTCATAATTTTGTCATGTGACCGTGCCGTCATCAACGTTTTTTCATGTCTATTCGAAATAACATAAAAAAAAATGTGGTGAACACTTTTAGATAACACGCTACGCGGGTATTCAGTGTGCACCACATTTTTTATGTTATTTCTTCGTAGACAGAAAAAACATTAACAGTCATTCTTTAAATAACAGTAGTTTTTACGTGCTGCCCCTCTATTCCTACATGGATGTGAAAAATAAAAAAAGAGGGGCAGCGTATGATTTGGAACAGGAACTCGTCAGTCAAGTAGAAATGAGAAGACATTTTGTTTCTAAAAAAAATATTATCATCAACGGGTTCCCTTTTTCACACGACTTAGATACAAACAAAAGTTGACAATATAAATTCGCGTTAAATTGACTCGAACGAAAGTAAGATAACAGGTATACCGGTATACTAAGATAAAGGATTTCTGTTAGTAGATTGTGCTTATTTTGGTCCGGAGAACGAGCTGCGTGTTCCTGCAAATGAATCTGGAATTTATTCGAAAAATATTTATATGGTCTGCATACTCATATGATCTGACCCATTAATAACCGAACAAGTATAAACTCATATGGCCCGACCATACGCCTAAGACCATACGAACATGCCGTCCAAATACTCGTATGGGTCATAATATATATATCATCTGTTTGTGTTTTATTCTGACATCGTTTATCTATATACAATACATATCAAATGTATCTTCTTTAGTTTGTACTACATCTAAGTCATTTAAGTGAAGTGAATATAGAAAGTTGTGATATGATGTATGCTTTGTATTCAGACAACTTTTGTTCCCATAGCAAGTGTTTAAGACAACTTGCTCATTACCTCAAGCTCAGTGGGGATCTTGAATTGTATGATAATTTGTCTATTTCTATCCAATTTCAAGTACTATGCATTGGACAATGTATGAAATTTGAATGGTAGGTCTACATAAACGATATTCGTATCTTGTAACATGAATGGTAATTTTTCCTTTGATCTTCGAGTGAGTTAACTTCAGTTATTTTTAAAGGAGTGCGTTAACTGAATGATTTTTTTAGTTATTGCACTCTCCAGTTCCGCCGTGTGTCGCTTGTCATAGGAAAAGCAAAGAATGGGAGGAGCTTAGACCAGTGCTTTAACTTCTTTCTCAAAAGTTGTTATTTCACTGTCTAGCTCCGCCTCCTTGGCCTAGTAAACTATGATATCAATGACCGTAAAATGTCCTAATAAATGTAAACAAAATGCATACACAACAATATATCAAAAACTAATCGAGAAAGGGGGAGGGGCTTACCTCAACACTAGCCAAACTTGCAAACCTAACCCTAAATAAAAAATGGTTCCCTATACATTGTACTTGAAAAAAAATGGATGCTCGAGGAGAGCTACAAAAAGGAATGACGTGGTCTATAAACGAAGAGGCGATATTGATAAATTGGTGGATACTTGTTTTTATCGTGACAATATTTATTAAAAATATTCAAAAAATATTGTCACTGGAATTTTAATCGTTTAATTTCCTCCACTTAATGAAAGAATATGTAATAGAAATGACTATTAATTTTCTTACTGTTATTTTGGTTGGATACCTGTTTTTATCGGTTTATACAATTTACGAAAAATGAATATGACTGACATGAATCAACGACAACCACTGAATTCCATCCACATAATAAAATGTGTCGGAGTTGAACATGTTAAGCAAAAAAAATCAACACATTATACTATTTTGACATTGAAAAAAATTACCCCGACTAACATTGATTTGTTGGGAAATTCTTCTTTTCTCTCTCAATTGTATTATTAATGTGACAAGACACATTATTATCGCAAACTCAAAAATAACATCTAAAATATGACAGGAATTTAGTTTACCAAACATTTTGTACAGGATAGCAGTCCGCACCAATCTGAACAAGTGAACTTTCCGAGAAAGAGGAACAAAAGAACAACACGTTGACTAGATTCGGTACCGTCGTGAAACAATATTTATAATATCAAGAATATTTGACATACTTATTTCAATGTCAGCTGTGTCAGTGTGAAATTAGCTGAGTACACTTATATAAAAAAAAACCATAAAAGTCGAAGTCGTCATTTTTTATGTTATTATCTAAATATTATTGAATTTAGTCAAATAATAAAAGGTTGATCTACTCATTTAAAGAGCGATCATATATAAAACATTTCAAGTGATGCTATTTTTCTGTTTTCACCATTCACGGCTTATCTATAAGCGCCGTTTTACTATTTATTCCTTATTTTCTGATATCAAAAATTCATTTTTTTTATATCATGAAATCGATTGTTTTCTTTATATCATAAAATAAAGAATATTTTTTGATATCAAAAATATTAATTTTTTATATCATTTTTTGATATCAGGAAATCAATTTTTTTATATCAGAAATTAAAATTTTTGATATCAGAAAATATTATTTATTTTTTTATATCAAGAAATAGATTTCCTGATATCAAAAAATGATTTTGTGATATCAAAAATTCGAAATTATTTAAAATATACCATATTTAGTTTTGCGTCGAACAGTCCCAATCGGCGTAATAAGTCGACCTAAGAATTAACTAAATACTGGAAAATGTTTTACAAAGTTTGACACATTGAAACAAAATACTGATGTGTTCGAGATTTAGATATGATGGCTGGATGATATATTCAGGTTCAACTGACGTAATACACGATCTTTTCGCCTTATATATCTAATACAATGCATACCCACCTAAATTGTACATACCAATTTTCTAAAATGAAGTGTAACTTTCTTGACAGTCGTTTAAATACAGAGACAAACGCTTCCAAAATGAAGGTATTTTAGAAATGAAAACGTACATGAAACCTATATATACTGAAACTTTTCAATACTTCACAGAAAAAGCTCATATGAAATAAATGTATGCGAGGCGCGGTACATAAGAAATACTAGCAGTCTTTCAAAAAACGTCTCTTAAAAACCCGAAATAGACGAAGTATTTGAAATTACAAGACATGCAATTTTTTTATTCGTTGTAATTGGCTTTTAACTAGCTGTCAGTAACTGAGAGTACTCTCACATCTGTACTTTGTGTCTTTTTGTTGTTGTTACCCTGCCACGTCCGGTCTGTGTATTTGTTAGCTGTTTGTCTTTTTGTTGTTGTTACCCTGCCACGTCCGGTCTGTGTATTTGTTAGCTGTTTGTCTTTTTGTTGTTGTTACCCTTTCACGTCCTGTCTGTGTATTTGTTAGCTGTTTGTCTTTTTGTTGTTGTTACCCTGCCACGTCCAGTCTGTGTATTTGTTAGCTGTTTGTCTTTTTGTTGTTGTTACCCTGCCACGTCCTGTCTGTGTATTTGTTAGCTGTTTGTCTTTTTGTTGTTGTTACCCTGCCACGTCCGGTCTGTGTATTTGTTAGCTGTTTGTCTTTTTGTTGTTGTTACCCTGCCACGTCCGGTCTGTGTATTTGTTAGCTGTTTTTCTCTGCCTTGTATCGATCTGATGAGTTAAATCCTTTTCAACTGATTTTTATAGTTTGTTCTTACACTATGTTGTGATGTAACATCAGTGTACCAGGTTAGGGTGAGGGTTGGGCGCTCAAACACGTTTAATTCCGCCACGTTCTTTATGTGTCTGTCCCAAGTCAGAAGCCTGTAGTTCAGTAATTGTTGTTAGTTCATGTCTGTCATTTTTGTTTTTGTTGTGAATTAGGCTGTTAGCTTTCTAAATTGAATTGTTTCATATTTTTCATGTCGGGGCCTTTTATAGCCGACTAAACGGTATTGGGTTTTTCTCATTGTTAAAGGCCGTACGTACGGGTTGCCTATAATTTCTTTCATCCACTTCATTTGAATTTTGGTAGATAGTTGTCTCATTGGCAATCATACCACATCTCCTTATTTTTATACTTAACAGAACTAACCGAATTCGCAACATAAACAACGCGGATAAAAAAAAAATAAAAACAAGATTATAAAAACAATGGGGATTAATTTCACAAAAACCTGGCTGCACAAATCTATTTCTGAGGAAACCAATAATTGCTTATAAAAGAAGCGGGAACTTACAATTGTTGACTCTAAATCTTAGAATAATTAATATTTGAGAAACACAAACACAAAAAACTTCTTATGACTGATGAAGCCGAACTCTTAAGATATTCTTTCCTTTAACACGACCAAGACACCAGACCTAATGTAAGGGCTCATGGGTGAGCTAGGATACTTTTATTGACATACAGGGACAGTCATTGAAATTTTTCTTGTTTTTTTATATCAGGAATTCGAATATTTGATATCAAAAAATCATTTTTTGATATCAGAAAATGTATTTATTGATATCAAATACTCGTCAGTATTATTTTTGATATCAGAAAATGTATTTTTTTGAAATCATAAAATGGATTTCTTCATATAAAAAAATCGAATTTCTGATATCAAGAAATAGAGATTATTTTCTGACATCAAGAAATCAAGCTCCTGATATCAATAAAAAGAGATCATTTGATATAAAAAAAATCAAATTCCTGATATCAAGAAATATTTTTTGTTATCAAAAAATCAATTTTTGATATCAGGAATTCAATTTTTTTTATAACAAGAAATATTTTTTGATTTCAGAAAATAAGGAATAAATAGTAAAACGGCGCCTCATACTTATCAGACATATATTTGACATACTAAGTAGAATAATGTAAAATCCCATGAAAGTCAAATCTGTCATTCATGTTTGCTTGTTATTTACGTTGAATACAGTAAAATTTTTTGACCTATTTAATGTTGTCTAAATTTAGATTAAATGTACCGAAGGTATTTGAAAGATAGCACAAAGCAACCTACTAAGATGTTACCTCTATTATTTTGGTAAGTCATGATTTTTTAAGTAAGGAATTTACAATTAAAATGTGTTATATACTTGTAGGAAAAAGAGTTTTGCACAAACTTTTTGACGTTTAACCAAATTTTTGTTTAGCGCAATGAGCAAAGCACATTGACATATATCAGATGTGTAACACAATAACAATCCGATCAAATAGGGTCACGCTGCTAAAGCTTATTAATTGCAAGTGATATAGCTTGATGTAGGAGAGAATCCCAACTAATCTTAGGTTTATGTACAGTTTCGATATAAGTCACAACTTGGAATATATTATGTATTTTTAATTTTGTTAATATTTTCACATTTTACCGAAGTTTTTTCGAGACGAACTGACGTTCATCGACCGCGAAGTTACTTTGTCATGTTTGTATATAGCAGTCGCGTATTTATTCTTTCATAGTACAAATTCCGTAGTGTACTGTTCAGAGGTACTGTTCAGGGTTGAAACATTGAAAAATAAGTAGGAAAATGCAAATTCTATAGCGAGACCAATAACGGTCTGTACGTTTGTACATTTTGTACTCATTCTTTGGTTTTGAAAGTTGCGTATACAATTATATGTTTGTTTAATTAACATTTTATTAATTTCGTGCGTCCGAACATATTTTTAATTTTACAGGAGTTAATTTATACGTCAATACACAGCGATGTCAAGTAAACAATTAATGGCCGTTGGTGGGACAGCAGGGGTGTCTCTAATTGCATGGAGAACCATGTTCCCGTGGATAGAATATGACTTGCAGACAATGAAGGCTGGAAAGAAAGTAGCAAAAAGATATAACGACGATATCATCAACAAACGTACAATTATTGATAATTTTGAGGCCACGGTAAAAAAAATCCCGAAAAAGACTTTTGTGATTTTAGATGACAGATGCTTTTCATATGAGTATGTCAACGACCAGGCATGCAGAGTAGCTAATATAGTAATACAGTGGAATTTGAAAAAGGAAGATTCTGTATCAATCTTTGTACATAACAGTATAGAATACATTTGGACATTTTTGGGTAAGAATAAAACTGCCTAGAAGGTCCCGTGTATAAATACGATAACAAATAAATCTATCTGGAAGGTCCCATGTTTTAATACTCTAAAAGATAAATATGTCTAAAAGGTCCCATGCATAAATACGCTAACAGATAAATCTGTCTAAAAGGCTGGGTCCCATGTATAAATACACTTGTAAATGAATTTGTCTAATGTATAAATACGACGTTAATAAATAAATCTGTCTGGAAGGCCTCGTGTATGAATACTCGAAAAGATGGAACAAATTGCAACACCAGAACATATGTGATAAGCCACAACAAAGAACTACTTATAGAGGTCCATTTTTGATTCAGCCATGCTGGATCTATGTGATCACTCCGGATTTGGAGATGGTGCAAAAATCTTAGTTGAAAACATATCATGAAAATAATAATTCCGTTTCTATGACTTGCAGAAACTTTATACACCATTTTAATCACTAACTTCCAACTTTTAATATGTTATTTGTCCTTAAATTAAGAAAAGGTTGGGCAACAACTTCTTTATTTTAGATATCCACTTGCATGTAGATCGATCCTTGGTAAATCCAAATTTTATATTAGATTGCTATTTATTATTTGATTTGGAAAATGTGATGTCAATTTTAAGCAGTTGATAAAAATAATAGAAGTGTTTTATCGGTATCTCATGTTCCTGTAAGCCATTGAAAAACATTTGGTTCAAGCTTTTAAGGTTTTTTGAAATACTATTATATTATTCCCATTCTTGCATTAGACAAATGAGATTATTGATACAATATCAGTATGATGGACAGCTCCCAAGATTTTCAAACAATTACACTCAAAGGTGTAAGTATTAACTGGATTAAACTCCACTCAAAAACAGTCTTAATTGACCACAGGTATATTAATATTGTAACGTGACCGAGGGGAGAAACGACAACGACACAGACGGACGGACATAACCATACTATGGCACGACAATGTATCCTGTGGTAATTTCCATTAACTAAATAATACGGTATCTATTTACAAGTTTATTCACAAATGTACATTACTTCAGACTTATAGACAAATTATTAGCAACAAAGTTTAAACATATAAACTTTAAATACAAGTCCTCCAGAATCTATACTGATTCAAGACTTCAAGGAAAATCACATCCTTCCAGTATCACAGCTGATACACAATCTGCCAGTCTCTGACCAACTAACCTTTATCATAGAGTTTAATTACTTTCACTCTAGACAAAACAAATAGGCATAACTTATTTTATTACCCTACACCCCAAGACATCGCTACTTGTCTTAATTACATCTGACAGTTCAACTTTAACTGCAGATAATAAAACTAGCCATTTGTCAAATTAGCCTTGCGTCATTAATTTTCTCTGAACACAAATAAACAGTTATAAAGTCAAATTAACTAGAGGTCAATATTTACAAAACATTAAAATATTACATTGCCTCCCTCTTTGAAAAACATGTGTCCCACATGTAAACAAAAAAAAACCAACTTTAACTTATTAAAGTATTGAAGACCACTTTCAAAAATAAAACAAAAATACGCAATAAAATTTAAATGGAAAAATCAAAATGTATCAAAAATCAATTTCAACATTTTAACAATAAAATAAATCAAATAATTCAATCATAATCATGAAAACATGCAATGTTCATTTCAATGTTCATTTTAAATGTTCATAGTTTATAAAGTTCAATAAAAGTTTTAATCAGGAACGAATCTGTTGGGTGGACGTTTCACACGATGTCCTCGACCGTATTCAATATTGTTAGTTGGAAAATTAGACATATCGCACTGTTCATTTTCACTCAATTCAATGTCAGACTCAATGTTATTTTCTTCGATTGCGGTAGCGTTAGACTTCGTGTCTTTTCGAATTACAATTTTAATTAGCCAATTGTTAAAATCTCCATAATACGGTTTTAGTCTGTTGTAATGAACCACTCTTGATTTTGCAGGTTCTGAATTTTGAATACGGTAAACCAAGTCACTAAAACTGTTTGTATATAAACATGATAAACTAGATAAATGTTCTGGAATATCTTCTTTTGACGAATCTAGAGAACAAGCTGACTCGTTAAATACTGTTACTGCTTCACATGGCGTTTCAATAGGTTTTTCATACACTTTAACAGACTTATCTGTTGCGTTCAAAACTTGAATAGGAACGACATTTGATGATGAATTAACTACTGTTTTAGCCAACAGGAGCTGATGTTTCTCCACAAATTTATTTGAAGCTACTAACATGCTACATTCTGGAGCATAACCAATATCAATAACTTTCCCCGGAATAATCTGCTCGACACCCGGCGGAATAACTGTTGTTTCTGACACAGCAACCCGACAACATCGCACACCCTGAGTATTTAATACTGCACATGATATCTCTTCTTTATTAACAGTCATTGTATTGTTAGCCACATCAATGCAACACATATTTTGTTTCATGAAGTCAAAACCGATAATACAGTCTATATCTTCATCTATATCAGCTACCCACACATCGTGTGTGAGAAGTGTCCTTCCAATTTCAACGTTCATTTTACCTATTCCTCTCACTTTAACTGGTTTACCGTCGGCAAGTTTCATGTTTGTATGTGTTGGACGCAACACCACTTTGTTTCCATCGGACAGAGAATCGTATACATTACTGTTCAAAATTGTCACATTTGCACCTGTATCTACTAAACATTGGATGTTTTTACCTTGAAATTTACCAGAAATATACATTCCTCCATCGCCACTCGCTACACGACCGGATCTAACTCGGTCTTTTTGTTGATAATTTCTGTTACTTTTGTCATCATTAGGACAATTTCTTCTGATATGGCCTGTATCTCCACAAGTCCAACATCCTCTTTTTCCCGGCTTGTTGTTATTGTTATTAAATCCGCTTCTCTGTTGACTCATACCGCTCTTAAGAAACTGAAACTCACGTCGAAGTTCCTCTACCACATCAGATAGTGTTTTGATTTGACCAGACACTTCTGAACTTTCCGATATAGCAAAATTCCGAACACTTGAAGGTTTGTCCCTCTGTTTATCCGCAATATAAAAAGCCTCAAGCTCAACAGCCAACTTAACTGCATCATCTAGTGTCTTTGGGTGAGCTTGATGTATACGCAACCGTGTATCCGCGTCATCTAATGCATCAATGAAATGATCTCGGCTCAACATCTCTTGTAGTTCCAATTGAGCTTTTGGATATGCTTTCCGGCTTAGACTCTTGATATGTTGCGCCAATTCAGGCAATTTTTGATCTCTTCTTTTACGGATATTCTTAAGCTGCACACGGAAAAGCTCTGTTCTGTTTTTGGTTCCAAATCTACTTGTTAATGCTGCACATATCGATTGATAATCTTTACGCTTTATCGGATCAATATCGGCTAAAACACTTTGCGCATTCCCACTTAGACTTGTTGCAAGAAACATTGCTTTCTGATTATCCGCCCAACAATTTAATTCGGATATCATTTCAAACTGAATTTTATAATCTTCCCAAGAAACAGAACCATCATATTTAGAGGGTCGGACAACTGGCTTTTCAGATCCCATATGCTTATGTGAATTCGATCCTTGATTACGAGAAGGTTGGAACACAGATGGAATTGATGATCTTTTCGGGGTCGGAGCACTTGAAATTTCATCCTGGAGAGTTTCATACTCTTTAGTTAAACGCTGTATTTCTCTTTGGGTTTCAATCATTCTAGGCGTTGAAGCTGATAACACGGTTGAACTTAATCCTATCCCTATATCCATTGATACTTTAGGTCTTGCACCTCCGAAATAAATTTCTCTATCAGAAGAATCACGTTTATCCATTTTTATAACAATTTAATTACAGTTGCTTTATTTACGCACATGAAATATTTTATTCCATTTGCAATAATCCTCTCACACAAAATTATCTGAATATTACTATAAATCCACAGAATATAATTTGCGAAAATACATTGTTAAATTCCAAATAGCACATCAATCCTTTTAATAGAAATAAACTAATCCATGTTAATAATATCCACACCGCTGCCACCAAAAATTGTAACGTGACCGAGGGGAGAAACGACAACGACACAGACGGACGGACATAACCATACTATGGCACGACAATGTATCCTGTGGTAATTTCCATTAACTAAATAATACGGTATCTATTTACAAGTTTATTCACAAATGTACATTACTTCAGACTTATAGACAAATTATTAGCAACAAAGTTTAAACATATAAACTTTAAATACAAGTCCTCCAGAATCTATACTGATTCAAGACTTCAAGGAAAATCACATCCTTCCAGTATCACAGCTGATACACAATCTGCCAGTCTCTGACCAACTAACCTTTATCATAGAGTTTAATTACTTTCACTCTAGACAAAACAAATAGGCATAACTTATTTTATTACCCTACACCCCAAGACATCGCTACTTGTCTTAATTACATCTGACAGTTCAACTTTAACTGCAGATAATAAAACTAGCCATTTGTCAAATTAGCCTTGCGTCATTAATTTTCTCTGAACACAAATAAACAGTTATAAAGTCAAATTAACTAGAGGTCAATATTTACAAAACATTAAAATATTACAATATATCATGATAGTTGATAATCATACTGGTATTGAGGTCAAGAATTTATGTACACATCTAACTGAATACACAAAATCTTGACCTTAATGGTGGAAAAATCAGTGTCATAATCATCTGACATAAGTTAATAACTCAGATCTATTTAAGTTACAATTATCAGTAATGTGGTTGAAGCAATAAACACAATTGCATAACTTACCTGAGCATTTTCTGCAATAAATTTATTTGTATATTACCCATTGTATTGCTATTTAACAGTTATCAATGGTTATTAGAATTATCTCAGCATTAGGTATTTGTACATATATATTTGAATACAGGAAATGCATTTTTTCCGTAATGAAGAATGAACACAATTGTGATAAAAGTTAGTTATTTATTTTTGTTGTTGTTGAGAAAATGCATTTTTAGTGCCTCTTTCTGGAAATTACTACGCCAATTATTATTAATGGCATATAAAAAATATGCTACACATTTAAAGATTTCCCGTAACATTCTTGTCAAAATCATTGAATTTCAAATGTTTCTAAAAAAGAGATGTAAAAAAATCTGACAGTGTCTTCAATTGAAATACCAAAATAATTTGCATCAATATTGCAAAATTCTCCATCTTTTGGCTATAAAATAGAAATTTACAGTGAGATAATAGAAATGAAGATAAAAAATAATTATTGAAAGTATGAGCATAAAAAAAGTCGGACTAGCTACAAAATTGGCTAAACCGCAACATCCATGATGCTTTGATTGGCTTAATTCTCACCCATTTTCTCTAAAGTTAAATACGCAAAACTGTTCTGAAGTGTATCAACATTTCGCTTACATTCAGAGAAGACCCATTCCTAAATTTTATCATCGTTCAGTCGCTCTTCTTTAATGATCAGTAAAATTTTGGAAATATTCGAAAAGCGACGAATATGTTCGTTGTTATTCTGCGGTTTGCAAGTTGTGTCGATTATTATATTATTTGTTTGTGCGTTTCTCTGTTATGACTGTTCTTGCGGGTGTTTGTGCTGTATTTCTGTCACGTAGTGTTTTGTCGATATTTTTTAACATTGTCATAAAGCGAGAGGTTTGGCATGCAATTAAACCAGGTTCAACCCACCATTTTTTCTTTAAATGTCCTGTACCAAGTCAGGAATATGGCAGTTGTTATCAAATAGTTCTTTTCTATGTGTGTGTTGACGTTTGTTTTTGTTACACTTCGGTGTTCCTGTTGTTCCTTTGTTTATCAAGTCTAAACACAATAGAACATTTTTATGTTCAGAAATTCCAGATTTCAATAACACAAAAAAAAAATATAATTGTTTTTGTGATTACAGCTGTTTGCTTTGGATATTCACGTGACTCATAGATTTATTGATTCAATGTAATGATTGATTGATTCATTGTTGTTTGTTAAACTGGACAAAAACAAATATTCAATTATATTATAAATCTAATAAGTAATTTTGAACATCTGCTGGAAAAAGAGGATATGTTGAATATGGAAATGGATGCGTGCTATATTTATACGCCACGCACAGCTCCGATACACGTCTTTGGCACGGGCTTTACTGTCGGTTCAAAGATGTCGAAGTGACAAAATTAACCACAGGGTTTCAATATGTTACAAAAACCGTTAACAATTCTCCTGCAGAACATCTTTACACCAGCATGGTTTTAGTCTTAGGGACTTCAAGCTCCAATTCATGAAATACTTGCAGTACTCAAAAGCGACCTGCTTATTTATTTTAATAGTTTCGGCAAAATATATCAACACAACTGTCTCCATTAATAAATGTTTTGCTAAACAAGTGTTTATGGTAAAGTATCAAATATATTTATCGAATAATTTGATAATTAGCACGTCCATTTATGTTTACAAAATCTTTTCTCGTTTTTTTTTTATTCCTAGCGAACACTGACATATGGTCTGAAGATCAAATATTGTTTTTGATTCATCTATAGTTCATATCTACGAGACTTGCGAGATCACAACAAGTATCAATATACCTGTATATAGGGCCAGATTATTATAAGCGGCATTTTTATCGAAAATATGAAATAGCATTGAAAAGATGCATTTACCATTGAAGTTATATTTTAAGGTTTACAGAAACTTGGTGTTATCACAACGTTATTAAATATAAACATCCGAGGTGACCCATTAGTTAATGCAATACAGGTGACAGACACAAAAGCAATCATTGTTGGTCAAGGTAAGTGATGTATTTATATTTACGATGACTATTACATCGGCTGTAGTAAGAAAACCAGGACGGATTCAAACAGAAAGATTTTGAAAGCAGAGAAAACTGTGCATCTTATAATCAGCATGACTTTATCAAATGATATTACGAATACTAAAAATCCAGGCTGAAAATAACGCGTAGGTACTTTAATTCAGTCACCGACCTTCGATATCGCGGGCGTGTTCTAGTATATCTTAACGTAACCGTGGTTGTCAGTTGCGGATCCAGAAATTTTCATAAGTGGGGGCCCGCTCCCGTCATGCCTCAGTGATTCTCTATATAATCAACCAAATTTTTTCCACAAAAGGGGGGGGGGTGGCTGGGTCCCCCTCCCCTAAATCCGCCTCTGGTTGTCTAAATGTATGTTCAGGGTTATGTGTTACTCAGTCTGAGCTTTTTCTGTAATGTTTCGTTGATCATTCTTTGTTTTTCATTGTTTTTCCTTTTGACTTTGGTACATATTTTTTTTTAATTTGACGTTTCTTATTACGTCTCGGTATCTTCTATTGATTTTAACGATTAATACATTATATAAACACCTTAACTGCTCCGACCTATAGTCTACTCGTCACTTTGACTGTTATCGTGTTGGAATAATCCATATACTAAAGTCCTCTCAATCAAGCAGGCTTTTTTAACAGTACAAAAAGACTAACAAGCAGCTCGAAGTGAGAAAATGTCAATGTTCTAGTATATGATAACTTTAAAGTGCTAAATCAAAAATTGAAAGTCATACTGAATTCAAAGGAAACACAGTTATATATGCACCACATTTTTTAGGTTATTTCGAATAGACAGAAAAAATATTACAGTCATTCCTTATAATCTAATTCTAAAAAGGAGTAAATCACGATAAAAACGTTGATGACGTCACGGTCACATGACAAAATTATGTCTATGAGCTGATATACAAAACACTTTCAGCCAATCAGAAGACGTGTTGCATCCAAAATTAAATTATAACAAGATAGACAAAATAAAAAAAGGAACTTCGCCAATTTCCAGATCATAAAAACTATCTAAACAATAGACCAATGCATATTTCTGACTTTTAAATTGAAGAGCCAATGGATGACGGATCTGATTTTGCTGCATCAAAGAACATGTGACACAAGTGGAAAGCAGCTATAAACATATGAAAAAATTTGAATTTACCATATCACATCGGCTTTTCAGAAGAAAAATAATTAAGCACGATAAAACTTGGTGGAGGATATTTTTAGTGCTATCGATACAGTGAATAATAGATGATAACTATTTGACTTATGCATTTACACTGTTAAAGTTTATTCAAAATATCAAATATATTTAATTTATTCTTCCTTTCTTCACGAATTTAGGTGATGATCTGTACAATGCAATAAATGAGTTAAGAGGAAAACTTGATGTACCAGTTTATTTTATGGGAAACTGTGCTGAAGATGTTCAATCCTGGGACATGCTTATGATGAAATCATCACCAGCAGATATAAGTCCTACCATAAGAAGCCATATTAATATATTCACATCTTGTTGCTATATATTTACTTCCGGTACAACAGGTAAACTTACTGTTACTAATTATATAACTAAAAATCAGAGTTAAAAAAATCAAATATTTACCACTCTCGTTTTTGTAATGATATATCAAATGCACATGCATATAATTGCTACTACAAATACCCGAACTTTTTAGGATTTACAATACAATGTCTTTTGGCACTGAAGATTCTGTCAATCAATAAGGGTTAAAGTTGTTATGTTGCAGGAAAATTAGCTTTCTCTTGACTGTTTTTTTTGGGGTGCAAATACCTGAACATGAAATGATATATTAGTTGATCGTCATCTAATCATGGCGTGCAATCATTCTGTACATGAATCCATTAAATATTAACGGATGAAGTGGTTGTTTCGTCAAACGTATTTGATATTTGTCACATTCACGACTGGATAATCACATTTTCACATATACAAAAAGTTTTTCATTATAAAATTTCTACAAGAGTAATATCCTGAAAGTTTGTATATACATTGCATTAGTAAGCAATGTTGCGCTGTTACAAAAGCCATGATTTGAACTTACTTTTGTCTGATCCTCAAGCAATATCTACAGAATGAGAAAATGAGGTATTGGCAATGACAATTTCAACAAATTGACGGACATACATTGCGATAGTTAGTATATCTGAGATTTCTGTCGGCAGTGTTGGTATACGTGTTAATCAAATTACATATGTTACATGCAGGTTTACCAAAGGCGGCATTGATATCACACGGAAAAGCGCTAGCTTACCCTAAGATAGTGTGGGCAATAGACCTTAAACCAGAAGATATAATATACGACGTGTTACCATTTTATCATGCAACAGGTCTCTGTGGATGGATAGCTGCCAGTGAAATAGGTAAGAATTGCAAAGAACATCAGTACTTTAGATATCTTGCACATCTCAAGGATTAACATAATTTGATGTTATAAAACAAAACACAATGCGGTTATGTATATATATTTTTTTCAACGTCTTGCATATGTTGTTTTGTTGTTGTTTTTTTTTTTCTCGTACAGCCTATTAAGTGTATATATGTTTACCCTGCAAGACCTTAAAAGTTTCACTTAAAACAACAATGTTATTGAACAAGTCTTGCATTCAAAAAGGGAAGCATTAATAAATAACTGTTTGGCGGCAACCCAACATAAAACAACTTTAAAAAAAACCATCTACGTATACAGTCAACAAACGTTCTTCAACAACAGACGAATATCCATACTAGAATAATCCTGCCACAAACAAAATGTGAATAAATCAAAAAATGAAAGATTACATGAAAACGATCTGCAGTCAATACCCAACACCAAAACACTAAAACAATTAGAAAAGACACAAAAACACTTGGCGAGATAACGATTGGATTAAGCATTTATTGATTTTTGATATTTTCGTTATGCATTCTGAACCATTTATGGTAATCTTATATCGGATATTTCAGGCTGCACTGTAGTCATACGTAAGAAGTTCTCTGCGCACCACTTTTGGGAGGACTGTAGAAAATATAAAGTTACACTTGTGCAATATATCGGCGAATTATTGAGATATCTTATTGCACTACCTGAGGTATAATTTAATATGTACTCCATAGTTTGGTTGTATCCTATTTTATATCTATAAACAAAAGTTAGAAAAAGAAATGTAAGAGGGTTGGTAATTATTATTTTAAATGAGGCTGAACAAATATCGATTATTTAACGATTGTATGTACATACAACGTTAACCAATCAACAACACTCAATATACTAGACTAAGTATTTAAAATATGTGGAGTAATATCAGGGGCTCCGTAAAAAGAGAGAAAGGCACAGTAATATACTAAAAAAACACAAGTCGTAGATAATAGGTAAAAAGATAACAAAAGAAAAAACGACGGAAATACAACAATAGCACCAAAAACTATACGAACAACTAATGAGCACGCACCTCACCAGAACCGGATGCTGAACTGAGGTGCTCCGGAAGGGTTAGCAGTTCCTTCTCCACCAGTTCAAATGCAAATATAAGGCATCATTATTCAAAGTTCAAATGTTCTACTTACTGTTTGCAGTCCAATTTGTCACGAAACGTCGGGAAATTATAAATTTCGGTCACTATACGAAACAAAAGTCACATTCATCTTACGGCCTCCCTTTGTAATGACTTCAGTAGTGATGCAGTGATGTAGTGATGCAGTGATGTGATCTTAATTACTATACTAAGAGTGTATAATTAAAATCATCGTTTGGTGATTTAGTTTATATCAACCAGAATCAATATTAATTATTATAGCGCTTATATAAAAATAAAAAGATGTGGTATGATTGCCAATGAAACAACTCCCCAGAAAAGACCAAATGACACAGAAATTAACAGCTATAGGTTTCCACTTTTTTCCAAAATGGCAGTTTCGCCAGATTATTAGCTTTTCGTATATACGTACTAAACACCTCGGGAAAAATGGTCAACTACTGTTAATGATATTCAATATTGTTTGTGGTAAATGCTTTACTTTTTGATTTTCTGCCTGCCATTTTGTAACATCGCACGTAAAAACAAACAAAAACAGAGATGACTATTTTAAAAGTACAAATACCTTTATTCTTCATTTAATAGAACCCTTTGGATGGAAATCATAACATAAAGTATTTCCTTGGCAATGGACTGCGACAAGATATCTGGACCCCAATCCAGAAGAGATTCAAAATACCGTACATCATGGAATTCTTTGGAGCGAGTGAAGGTACTGCTTTAATGTACAATTTGTGTAATAAACCAGGAGCTGTTGGGAGGATATCACCTTTGATGGCAAGTACTATATAATGTCTTAAATGCAGAGATAGGGGGAAAATATGAGATGCATGTATGCAGATATCGGGGGAACACATAAGATACATGTACGCAGAGATAGGAGAACACATAAGATACATGTACGCAGGGGGAATACATAACATACATGTATATTCATTGGTATTGTTTTTTTTTATTTGTTTGTCATGCCAAATGTTTTTACTTCATAGTTATCTCCCTTAGTTCAATTCACATGCTTTGGTGTCCTTTTGTGATATTTTGAGTTATTTGTTCTTCGCCGTATTATGGTTTCGTATTTTTGTGCTATGTACCGATTATCAGGTTGTATGAATATTGGAATTGTAAAATATCAGCTGCGAGCCACATGCTGAAGCTTTTTGTTGAGTGAGCGCAGCAAACGAGTTCAAAAAGGCTTCATATTGTGTCTAGCAGCTGATGTTTTAAAGTATAAATATGATGAAAATCTGATAATAGATTTATCGGATTGTATTTGTGTATTTTGCATGATAGAAACAAGTGCCTTTTTTTGTTCACCAGCAAACCAAAAGATGACTTAATAAGTTCGGGTCAAACTTATCAACGTCGGTTCATTCACTATGACATCGGTGATATGTCCTGGTCAAAGTTATTTAAGTCGGGTTAACATATTTGACGTCACAATGGTATGCAATTTCATGAAGAGCTGAGCAGATACTATAAGTTATATGGTTCGCTACTGAACCCCTACGGATCCATAGAAGGTTAGTAAAATCCATAGGGGGTGAGGCCGAAGGGTCAGTAGTGAACCGTATATAACCGTGTCTATACAAAAACAAATGCCAACAGCAACAACTTTTTAGCTTTAAATGTGTTTAATGAATTTATTTCAATCGTTCATCATCAATTTCTTCATCTATTGAAACCTTTCAGATTTTCCCTCCACAACGTGTTGTTTTTATAAAGGGACGTAACCCCACTACTAACCGTGTATTTAATTAAGCCCCGCCTACTAACCTAATATGAAATATGCACGGTCTCCACGCGGTTGCTTTTAACCAATCATATTCCTAGAAATGTATAGGAGGTAATTATGAGATAAAGACAGTTGAAACACCAATAAGTACCGATTATCAGGTTGTCTGCATATTTATATTGTAAAATATCAGCTGCGAGTCACAACTTAAGTAAAAAGATTTCTGTTGAGTGAGCGCAGCAAACGAGTCAAAAAGGCTTTTTGTGTGTATTGTTTCTAGAAGTTTCATCCTTTGGTTTTCCAAATTAGGTCTCTGACACATAATATGCGTTCAGTGCAATAATTATATTCAATATTTTGTTATTTCGTATGTTTGACGGGAGAGTATTGCAAGAACTGAAAAGACTCTTTCGTACTACTTTTTATTTGCTAATAACTTCTCTTTTTTTTGGAAAAAAATCAGTCTCACTATACAGTTTGAAATCAAAAGAGTTCATGTTATTTGCATATCTACATTAGGGTCACTTTTAATATCAAGAGCAACGTTGTGACTTCGCTTTAAACCTGGGTACATCCAGTAATGTGTTTACCTAACCAAATTATGAATACCGTTATTACAGCTATATCCGATATTATACTAGAGGTTATTCTCTTTTTCTTTTTTGTATTTTCACTACATTGATTTCTTATGTAATTTTAACCAAAAAAAATCATGATAAAACGAGAGGTTTATCACACCGTAAAACATGATTCTATCCACCTATTTCATTTGCCTGTATTTATGTAGGAATATGAAAGTTTGTCACCATTGTTCTTATTATAATTTGTAGCAGAAATTTTCTCATAGTTGAAAAGAATTTATGGACCTTCTCGGTCTGCTCTTGACGTCTTTACACTAAATCCGTCAAAGGTGTATAAATACCCTTCATTGGAACTAAATTTCGTAAAAAAAAGACGATTTCTGTATTCAGATAGGTTTGGTTTTTCTGAAGATTTTTTATTTACTTCATTATATATAAATACAGCAATGCTATGAAATCCCATCAATATTTTTTTTTACATGCGATTGTTTCTTGGAGCATCCTATATGTCGAATTATTAACAATGTACTTTAACTTAGCTTGAATATGTATGGATCTATTTACTGGAAACTAAACAAATGTTGGAAATTGTTTCAATTAAGATACTTCTTTATTTTGAATTTGTTTCTGATTTGACATTCCAGAGTTATTAGACTTAAACCGTTAGATTTAAAGTACCTTTATACATGTCACACAATAGCTATATTAAGGGAATACGATACAGTTTCGATCCCCCGATGAATTATTTTACGAAAATTTGCATACAAGCTATTTTTCACCTAAACAATTCAAATATGTAATAAGAAATATACCTTCATGTGCTACTTTAAGAGATAATAGGGGTCGAAATTTTAGACATTTACTCAAAATTTCGGTTTTTTGGACATTTCTATCCTTTGGATAGACACACCTAACTTTTTTTTATTTCAACAGATAAAAACAGGCGGATTTTTCTAAAAACACTATGAAAATCTTCTTTACATAGATATGCTCTTAATATGTACAACAATTCTTTGGAAATAATAAATTTTTATCAAAGTTTCAGGATTTTAGGAAAAAAACGTCATTTTTTGCGGTATATTTATCAGATTTAAAAAAAAATCATCGTTGACTTTTTCATTAAAATTAGTATCAATAGTCATCATACGTAATCAAACCTAATACTATTTAAAAAAAAAAGAGGGTCCATGTACTCATTTCAGGTTAAATCAGTTTATAAAAAAATATACCTTCATGTGCTACTTTAAGAGATAATTGGGGTCGAAATTTTAGACATTTACTCAAATTTTGTTTTTTGTCATTCTATCCTTTGGATAGACATACCTTTCAAAAGATAAACAAAAGCGGATTTTTGTAAAACCATTTGGAAAATCTTCTTTACATAAGTATGCTCTAGATTTGTATAACATTTCTTTGGAAATAATAAATTTTTATCAAAGTTTCCGGATTTTAGCAAAAAACGGCATTTTTTGCAGTGTATTTATCTAATATAAAAACATTTAATCGTTGACTTTTTCAAGAAAATTGGTACAACTAATCTTCATATGTAACCAAACCAAACGTCATTTTAAAAAAAGAGGGGTTCATGAACTCGTTTTCAAGTTAAATCAGTTTGAATGATAAAAATCAGTCGAAAAATGCCTCTCTTCCCGATATATCACTTTTGACGTCGTGAAAATAACATTTTACGTTAGCAACGTCATTACCTCCCCTATAACTGTATCGTATGCCCTTAAGCGTAGATAGATTTACAACACACTTTACAGTGGTAAATGCAGGAATGCAATTAATTTTGGAAATGTTCTGGTTTTTCGTTCCAGATTAATGCAATTTTTAACAGTCATATTTAATGCAATATCCATACAACGAATGATATCTTGAGTTCTACAGAGTCAATTGTCTACGTGATATACAAACTTCCAATTAGATGCCTTCTTTATATTACATTAAATTATGGAACTAGTGTCAATATGAACACCTGCTAATTATTGATTGGTATTTACATGTACCACTGTTCGATGTAAGTTAAATGAAATATTTTTACAGAACAGATTAGATCCTGCACCAAAGTATCTGTTGAAATATGACTTGACTACGGCAACACCATTACGTAATAAATCAGGACGCTGTATTGAGGTTAGAATAGGTATGTTTATTTAAAAATCTGTACTTTCCTGTATGAAAAAAACATTTGCAATTACCTCTTGGTAACCCCACACAATCGCAAATCTCCCGAATAGAAAATCACTTTACCTTTAGCGGGAATTTGCTACCGTCTAACCGCATTTTGGATCACGCAATCGATTAAAAATTCTTAGAAAAGATAGACATCGAGAGAAGAAAAAGTAATGGAAGATAAGTATAAAAGTTGTATGAGATGTAGTTCGCGGATGAACGTCATAGACACTCATGAAGAGTGTTATAGACACAGAATTTGTCATAAGGCTTTTTCTTGTGTTATTTGCCGCGAATGGGACGATGAAAGGAGATCTTTGATCGATAAAATGTTAGATAAAGCAAGAGCCAAGCTTCCTTTTGCCGGAAACCCTTCTGCGCAGGAGGTAGGCAAAAGGAATGTCACAAAGCCGAGTGAATTGGCGTCGGACAGTGACAATAATCGCTGAAATCAAATCTTATCTTATCTTTTATATTTTAAAGGAGAACCTGGGTTACTAATTTGTGGAATTCCTCCAACATGTAAACTTGAAAATGGTTTATACAAAGGTAACATGGAGCTGACAGAGAAAAAGATTGTACGTAACGTGTTTAATGAAGGGGATGCTTACTTCAACTTTGGTGACTCCTTGTATCTAGATAAAGATTACTTCGCTTATTTTCATGATCGAGTTGGAGACACATTCAGGTTAAGTTTTATTCAAGCTTATTTTATTTTAACGTTGACCACCTGAGGGTGACTGGGGTATAGAAATAATGTCATAATTGGTCTTTTTCCGACCGGCAGTAAAACCCTTGCCAGTGGGGTGTCCATCTGGCTGTATGGAATGTATAAATTCACAGTAACATCTGGTCAGAAAAGGGACGTTGAACCATTCGATGTCTTAAGTAGTAAGAGTATCACGCTCTCTGCACATTAAGAATCCGTGCAACAACACCGTGAGCGTTCCGTAGGTGACCTTTGCAATGCTGAATTTCTGAAAACAAAATAGTTCCTACGCATAAGGGTAAATCTTAAACTATGTAGCATATATTTGTGTAATTATGGTATCAGATGATAGGTGTAAAAAATTGTTATTATTAGTTGTAATATTATTAGATTAAAATGAATACTAAAACCTTTACTGTTTTTGGGCGAATTTTCATTTTTTTTACATCAGATGTGACCTTGAGAGGTCATACCGGAGTTATGTTGCCGCAGAAATTTCTGCACACGTCCCTTGCGCTTTTCACTGATAACCGAACGTATTTCGTATAAATACGCGGTTATCATCGAGTGCAAAATGGCATTCCTTATCGCTTGTTATAAATTCATTTCTTCAATGAATACTCATGAAAATATTGTTTAAGACCATAAATAGATAATATGAAAATGTTTTGTCGTGAGAAATATATATATATAAGTAAACAAATCATTAATATCGAAGCACACGTACCGCAAAATTGTGTTTGTGGATGAATATTTCATTTATACCATGTGTATTGAATATTTGTAAGGTGTACATATCTGTCTGGCAGGTATCATATAACCGCCTGTCATTTATTCATCATTCAACATAACTTGCGGTCATCCGATGTTCAGCAAGTTCATTACTTTAGTACTTTGATTTAAATTAACAATCATGTAGTTTACTCAAGTTTACTATTACCATCATAACTGGTAAATAATTTTGGAAAAGAAACCCTGTAATGAATTTAAATATCTTAAAATTTTTAGATGGAAAGGGGAAAATGTGTCTACTACAGAGGTTGCTAACATCATTACAGTCTTGTCTTTCATCATAGATGCTAATGTATATGGTGTCAAAGTTCCAGGTACGTTTCTAAATTAATCTTTATTCACGTTAAATTAATAGAGTAGTAAAATTACAAAAAGATGGTCTTAGTTCATGTGAAAATATTATCAAATCCAAAATCAAAGCTTGCATATGAATAAAACAATAATACTATGTTTTGGAATCGGATTAAATGTAATATTTACACACAAAAATAAAAAGCTTCCAACATTCATGTTCGTTGAAGGTACCAATTTTACTGCACAAGATGTGCATTTCAACAATACTTGTCTCTTCAGTGACAATACATGTGTCTTCAGCGACAATACATGTGTCTTCAGTGATGCTCTAGGTCAACAATACATGTCTCCTCAGTTATGCTCTAGGTCAAACTATTTGAATGAGAGCTATGTGGGAGGTAGATAACATTCCTTACTTTAAAATGATTTCGAAATATTATTACAGCACACTTCAATAAAACAATATCCGTATTTTCATTCAATCAAACCATAGTGACTTATCATATTTAACATTAAATTGTATGAGTAGCATTTGACACCATTAATAAACAGTGACTTAAATCACACGTCAGGCGAAATGAGATTTTTATATATTCATACTGATAATTCCTGTTTGTATGTGTGAAATTCTTTGCATATTAATTTTATATTGTTGTTTAATACTTTGAAATAAAATATTTTTCATTTGGTTCAATACCTCTTTGGCTTTTTCTTTGAACAAGCTATAAACAACACCACGGAGACGAAATCACTTTAATAGATATTGTAGGTGTTTGTACAAAATGGATTAAAATATTTCTGCAGGTCATGACGGAAGAGCAGGAATGGCTTCTCTGGTTTTGAAAGGCAACGAAAAACTGACCAGTGAAAAATTAAAGGAAATCTACCATCACTGTGAACAGAAGCTGCCTAAGTATGCCAGGCCAATAGTATTACGTCACGAAAAGGAAATGCGGACAACAGGAACATTCAAACAGCATAAAGTTACTTTAATGGGAGAAGGATTTGATCCAAATGTTGTCTCTGATCCAATGTTCTATCTATCAACAGAAGCAAAAACATATGTTCCCCTTAGTCAAACAAGCCATCTTAATTTCTTGCAGTCAAAGCTTTAAAATAATAGATAATGATGAAAAAAAATGAGAATCGACCTCGTTATATTATTTTGCATTTTAAAAATAGTCTTTTATGGTGTACTGCAGAATAAATCACAATACTATTATTTGAAAACAAATCCGTATAACCAATATAAATGCGTCTAAGAACCGCAATTTTGGGGAGAGCTTTCCGATAACACTGAAGATCGATATTTCATTAATTGGTAGATAATGTATACACACATGTAATTAATAGTTTTTTATAAGAATAATAAGAATTATGGTTAAACCTCCACCACAATTATGTTGTCGTCGCAGATAAAGCCCCAAACAACATCGTGTTTGTCACAGTGTGTAATCACATTACATAAACTGCTTGATAAATGAATTTGTTATCGACTAATTCTGAATTGCTGAATTTGCTAAGAATTGCTCATAGATTGAGTTCAAACCATGCAAACAATTTAAGCATAGAACTTCTAAGATAATTAGAATAACAATTATTTAACATCTAAAATATCTGAAAAATAGTAGAGATAAGACACTATAAATTATTTTTCTGTGAATTAAATAGAAGAATAATCTATTATTATCCAATGGAAATGTTGAGATAGAAAAGTGTAGTTCTGACAAAAGTGCCAAAAGTGGACATTATAACTCTATAAAAAATTAAAAACAACACATTATATAAATTCGAGGTGTCCGAAGCGCTTTTATGGATCTACCTTCATCAGGAAGCTCAAAGCCAAATATTTTAAAGCCAAGGATTTATAAGAACCGAAACAATTGAAGAGCTTTATGACCGACAATAACCTAATGAAATAGCAAAATCCATCAAAGGCCAACTTCGCATGAGGGAGTTGAAATCTTAGTTTCTTTATAATATTAAAATTTATAAACGGACACTTTTAGAGATGATTGTTATTAATCATGTCAGTACCGAAGTACTAACTACTGAGCTGATGATACCCTCGGCGACTGATAGTCCACCAGCAGAGGTATCGACCCAGTGTTGTAAAAAAATGAAAACAAGACGTTATATAAATTGCATGCGTCCGAAGCGCTTTTCTGGATTTACCTTCATCAGGAACGCTCAAAGCTAAATATTTGAAAGCCAAGGATTTATAAGAACCGAAACAATCGAAGAGCTTTATGACAATAAATAACCTAATGAAATAGCCAAATCTATATCAGGCCAACTTTGCCTATAAGATTCACACGACAAAATTACTACATAATATCAACCTAAATAAAGACACAGGCCCTGGTAAACTATGTGTTAAGGTACTAGTATTAAAGGAAATGAAATATCATCTTAGTCGTATCATCACACTCATCTAACAAAAGTCAAACAACACACATGAATTACATAGAGACTGGAAACATTCAAACGTCTGTTCTGCATTAAAAAAAGGAGACAAAAACAATGCCATAAGCTACAGGCCCAGCTCGCTATCATGTATACTTTGCAAAATAATTGAGCATATTGTAACGTGTACACAGGGTAAGCATGTCTATTTCTATTGTAGAATAGGTTCGTTACCAGTTTGATACTGGATACCAAATGTTCTATTTACAAAATATCGAACAAGTAAACTTTAATCATAAATATATCATATATATATACAACTGCTCTTTGCGTTCTCTAAGGAACTATCGATAACTATTCCTCTTCAAATATATACAACTGGTACAAATTATTATATATAGGAAAACTCTTGAATATATTGAACAATTTTGTACCCTACAAGTTAACACGCTTGTCCAATACGGTACAACTTGTAAACTCCCAACTTGTACAAGTCCGTATTTCTAACATGCACCAACCTGTTCTTTATTACACTTGATGTAATAGTATCTAACATATAAGAGACAACGATCTTAAATATCAACTTACCATAACTTCAGGTCTTCGTCTTTTTAAACCTATGACAGTTGACCGTGAGCAAGGAATTGCTGCTTTTTATATACCCCAAAGGTAGCCGTACCATTCTTGAAGGAGAGGTGTTCTTCCAAAGTGCCCCATTACTCGTATTAGAGATTCCTTTGGAACACCCCTTCACATTTGACCTGACCCAAGATTTACCCGGACTTCTACTGAACTGCAACTAATGTGAACTATTGAACCTATTATACAAAGTCATCACAATATCATAGCTAGTTAAATAATGGAATACCTGGAAAACATTATATATTATACGATATATAGCATGGCTATCGATCTAAACGCTCATATGAGACAAAATCAATATCTTTCGTACATGACCTCGCAAAAGACAACAATAACCAAATACAAACTGATGTCATTTGGATTGATTTTGCCAAAACTTTTGACAAAGTCCCCCACAGAAGGAAGCTATATAAATTACAATAGTAAGGCATACACAATGATACCTTGGAATGGATTAGTGATTTTCTACAACGTGCACAGACAGTCATGCTAGATGGAGAACAATCAAAGAAAATCGGGGAAACATCTGGACTGTCACAGGGTTCCAATTTATAACGGGGCTTAGTTTCAGCCGTATTCCATATTAAGAAAAAAGACTGGTTAACGTCGTTCCATCCAGACAAATGCCTTATACTCAGAACTACACAAAAAAGATACAAGTCAACCATGATTATATTCTTCATGGTCACATTCTTCAAAATGAAACAACTACAAAATATTTAGGCATATCCGGCCAATCAGATCTTAAATGAATAAACATGTAAATAGTATAACAGTAAAATGCAAATCGACAGCGAAATTTTCTAAAACGTAACTTAAAGTATCTTGCAGACAAATAAAAGAAAGGGCATGCATGTCATTAGCTAAACCAAAGCTAAAACACAGCTCTTGTGTCGGGGATCTTCACAACAAAAATCAAATCAATTAAATTGAGATGATCTAACGGAGAGCTGCCCCTACACATGTACCTCAATACTTGCTCTGTCTTAAATATGCTTGACCATCTACAATTACCTACACAACAAATAATACGAATACAAACATCTATTGATTATACACCAATATTTAGCAATCTATCCTAAAGATCTGATTATTACATCAAACAGCAGAACAAGACAGAAACATATCAACCACTTTAAACCAATTCAAATAAAATTCAATAAAGATTCTCGCTAATTTTGGTTTTATCCGCACACAGTAGTACAATGTAATCTACATGGTCCGTGTAACACTTATTAATTTAAAATTCTAATGCAACATTGGTTGTGACGTTCATTTTGATGGGATAGCATCACCAATTTTCATGGCATCAATTCACAATTGATGCTATGAAAACGAACGCGCAAGCGCAGACGACGTATTACAGATTTTAAATGTATGATTTCACGTAGTTTTTTTGTCAGTTTCATTAGAACGGAGATAATGATATTGTATTTTAATCTCCGGCAGCATCAATTGGTGATTTGATGGTCGCAAATACCCGTTTAATGGCTCCGCTAACGCGTCGCCAGTAAACTTAATTTGCGACCATCAAATCAGCAATTGATGCCGTCGGAGATTAAAATAAAACACAGTTATCTCCTAATTTTTCAAAAGTTTTCAAATTTTAGTTTTTTGGATATTTGATCAAAGTTTTAAAATATCAAAATTTTATAAAAATGAATACTTCCCCTTATAATATTACTAAAATTATTATCGTTCGTCTGAATTTTGTGTAGACGTAACGCATGTCTAGCGTACCAAATATAATACGACAGTTATATTTGGTAAGTTTATACTCGCAATTTAAATGAAATAGCTTGTAGTCTTTTGGACAATAATCAATTGACAAACAACAATGGTTTAATTAAAGAAAAAAAAACACAGAATTTATAAATGTGGATTTCTGAAGAAATATTTTGTTGTTTATATATCTCAGAATTGCAATAGTACGGACATTTTTATATTAATTATAGTAAATTCAGTTTAGAGGTTGACTGGTAACATCATATTAAAAGTCTGCGATTGGAGTTTCATGTTATGTTTACATTGAATCCAGCATTCCTTTCATACTACATATATTTTTTTTAGTTGTTAGTAATTAGTGTGATGTCGTGTGTTACTTGTGTAATTTTTTATTGTAAAAACGTACATATTTCCCCTTTCAAATAGCAAAAACGATTTGTTCGTTAGCATGATATTTTAAGCTCGCATTATTGGTCATAATATATTTTGGACTGTAGCTGTAAGTAAAACTATGAACACTGATTTATTTAAAGTGATTTCTACAGATAAAGAAAATTATAAATAAATAGATATAGAACTGGATCATAAATTTTCTCAATATATGACAATTTGATATACTAGTAGTTCATACTTTCAAGGATTTTTATAGTAAAATTTTTCTATACAAATCCTTGATACTTTCATTGTGAAATAATTAAATATTTTGTATTCAAAATTATACTGTTTTATCAAACCATCTCAACTACTTTATTTCACTTAATGGCCAAAAGAATATTTCAAATGTATATTTTGAGCAAATTAAATCAGATGACATCATGTGCCCTGTATACTTTGTTTTACATGTGGCATATGTTTGGCAAAAGTATAATTCAAAGAAACCAAAGACATAATATTACTAGTTCTATATGTCTCTGAAAAAAATGTACTAATAAAAAAAAACAATCCAAAATGGGGAAAAAAAAATTTTGTTTAAATAAGTGTCAAAAGAGGGAAATTTAGTGGATAAAAACATAACATAAAACACCAAGAAAGACGACAGACGAATTAACCAATTTTATTGACCCAGGGACAGTCTATACTAAAATAGTTAGTATAGACTGTCCCTGATTGACCCTATTATTTATTTCTGATAATTTTCCCTATCTAATCACATATTATCTAACTGGAAAATGTGACCTATTCCAGCGGCAAGTCATATCACCTTGTATTTATATGAAGTGGTTCCCCCAGAGGCTGCAGCATCCCTTAATCTGACTGGATGCCGATTTGACCTGGTGCTGATTTGACTTTTTCTATAGGTGTTGAAATGACCAGATGCCGATTTGACTTGTACCCTCTTAATCGCGAATTCTAGTCACTTCGGCACCTGGTCAATTCCGGACCTAGTCAAATCGGGACCTGGTTAATTCGGCACCCAATGTAGTTATTTCGGCACCCATGACTAGTATTATGGTTTGCAAAGTAAACTATTGAAGACTCCGTTTTTTTCCATATTTGTTAAGATGTTGTCGCTCGAGGTGTCAACGTGTATTTGTCACACAAAACAGAAGTTCCAATGGAAAAGGCTGTAATAAAAAATGTTGTAATATCTGTTCCTACTGGAACTTATATTATCAAGGAACTTCCATTTCATGACAACTGTACATTGCTAGTAAACATACAAAATTGTTGCCATAGTTATTCATTTTATATTGTTTTGGTGTAACAATAACAGTATGAAAATTAATGCACAAAAAAAAACAAATTGTATGAAATTGAGTTCAAAATAAAAACTTACACAACTATCAGAAATATGTATCACCATCAACGAAAGCTGTATTGAGAATGTACATTCTTTCAAATTACTTGAAATTGACAATTTAAGCTGTGAAGAACATGTTGACCGTATATGTAAGATTATCTCATCTAAATAGAATATTTGCCTATACACACAAGACAACTATTTTATAATGCATATATTCTACCATATATAGACTATTGTAGTTCAGTTTTGGAAAATTTATTACAAAAGGATTCAGATAGAATCATAAAACTTCAAAAAAGAATAGCAAGAATTATACTTGAATGCGATAGTTCTGTTCCATCTAATTTTATGTTTTCTTTTTTAAAAAATGGCTATATGTTTACAAAAAGAATAAAATAGCAACAATCAATTCTTATGTATAAGATTGTAAATGGACTAACACCTGATTACTTAGCAATGCTAAATATTAATAATGTCCAACACTACAAC